GGCGGGTCCGCTGGTGTTTCTGGAGTTTTTCAGCGCTCTGTCCATATTTCTTACAGGATTCGTAAGTGCACAGTCTTATGTCATCAGCAAGCAGCAATTCACATAGTTAATAAAAGAAGACAACGAAAAATGCTTGGCTTTCATGGTCGTTTTCGGGGAAAGTCTGGCAGTGCATGCGAAAATATTGGGCTATGTACAAGCACGTCTTTTCTAGGTTTTCGAAGACTTTTTGAATATTTAATCAGATTGGTTTATTCAGATAGACGATCGTCGAGTGGCTTTGTTTTTTAACATGCTATTTGCATCTTTGCACTTTTTTGTACCAGTTATTTGTAGCAGAACAATACAAATCGTACGTTGGTTTCATTTTTACAAAAACATCAAATCTTTTTGCTTTCGTTGGCACTTTTCTTAAAAAAGACTTATCCCTAATATTTAGCTCGAAAGCCATACGACGTTTGTAACCGTGATTTTTCTTTTCGTTATTGTTCAAAATCTGTTTAGATTGGTGCTCAGCACGCACATTTTGCACTGAACTTCAATATGTTCATTGCCGGATTCGTGCAGATCCTCCTACCTGGAGGAGTACAGCTGATGGTCCCTGAAAACACTAAAGAACAGGTTCTTTGCTCATAGAGCTATCTCTTTGTACAAGCTGTTTACAAGGAGAAACGAGTTTCACCTGCTACAATGCTTTGCGGGAAGAAAGTTCTTTTAGTGGTCTATTTTATTCTACTGCATCACTGGTATAATAATTTCCACTACAATCCTGTATGTTGTTTGCGTCAAAGTAGAAGCTGCACATTGGACGGAACCCAAAGCGAAAGCGACGTCTTTCGAGCTGGGACAGTTTGTGGAGTTTTCTCGAATATCGTACAAGTGTCATTTTTGAAAGTAACTCTCTGGTTTCAATGAACTCATAACTCTACCAAACCACGTGTCTTGAAAAAATAACAACAGCGGAGACAAATGAATACGTTTAGGTGTTTTTCCATGTGTTTATTTTCTCCTTTGCTTTAATACTCTACAATTTCATCGAAGAGTTCATAGCCTACAAATTACGTTGAAATACTGCAAAAGAACGAAAAAATAATAGGAGGCTCCAAGCGCTT